TGCTCTTGTTTGTTTTCCATGTTATAGGATCAACTAACTTATATACACTTTCTTTATTTTCCTATTTGCACACTTCTGATATTCTAGCATGACCATCACTTTCAAAAAAGTATAATTCTTTTGATTTCCTAGAAAGAAAACACAAAATAGCTGACATGGGAAGGACCTTAAGTTCAGGACCTTCTGAGGGAAAAAAGTACCATATTCTACAATGATTTGCTGTAGATCATGGAGCTGTAATGAATTAGTAATATACATTATTTCTTGAGGGTTGAAGGTGGCTTGGAAAAAGTCCACTATAGGAAACCTCATTGCTCAGTACCAAGTACCAGTCAAACCAGTACTTTATAAACCTCAAAGTTTGTTATACACAACCTCATTTGATGCTTACAGTATCCCTATGAGACAGATAATTATCTTTATTATCCCCTTTATTCCTAGTTGAAGAAACAGCTTGTGATTACAAAACTAGTAAATGTCTGAGGCAGGATTTGAGCCCACATCTTACTAGTTCCAAGTTCAGTACTTTTCCCCTCTAAGCAACACTGCCTTTTAGCATAAAGATTTAATAATCAATGAAATTCTGTACCTTGGAAAAGGAATGGTTTAAGGAACATGGTTATATAAGATTATTATTCTCTAGTAAAACTTACTTCTTTCTAATATAATGATACATTTCTATCCTATGAAGTTAGATTTTCAATCCTTAATTATTTTTTGCTACACTGTATCTTTTGACAGTCGAAATTCCATTCTTCTAAATAAAATGTTAGGAAAAATGCTTGGAAAGTGCTATCTTTTCTATAAAATACTACTGAAGACTGAGGGATTATCAAAGAGTGATTTTCTGATTAATGTGTGAGAGAAGACCTTAGGCAAGGCAACCCATTTTAAATTCATCTTTTCTTGATTTAAAAAAAATGGGAACGGTAATTGGCACAAGGTTGCTGATTTCTCAATTCTCTAAGGCATTATGTAAAACATTTCACATTATTTGGAATGTTTTATAAATGGTTGCTACAATAAAAAAAGGTCATTATTAAATGTATACTTTACACAACATGCTTCTAAAGACATTACTACATTGTTTTCGTGTTTTCTTAAATTTTGTTCCCAGCTAGGATCTGAGGGGAGAGTTATGGAGACAGTATGATATAACTGAAATTGGAGGAGATTGTAGAATAAGAAGCATCTTTCCAGATTAGCCATCAGTTTAGTCAGGTTCAGACAGACTGGTCTCCAGGAAAGTCAGGGTTAGTGGGAGGAGCAGTGATTGGTCAGGCTTGGGGGATGGGATTTCCAAATCTCATTCATGTCAAGTAGAGTCTAGTCCAGCATCCTTCGTATGCTGAGGTGTACCTCTTTGGTGCATTTCAGTTTGCCTGTCAGCTCATCAGTTGTTTTTTCAAGCTTTATTGCCAATTTCAGTAAATTCAACAAAGGTCTCTCTGCATGCTTGAGTTCACTGGGTACAACGTTAACTGCTCTACAAATTTATCTTCGTTCTGAGAATACTTTTCTTCAGGAACACTAAGATTCTGAACCAGATAAACTTATCTGCTCATCTTTCTCCTGAAGATGGGACTCAGGCAGCCAGTTCATTCCAAATTTTTTATAATCATCAACAACTTGGGGCACCTCCTGCTTCCTGGGCACTTCTGTGATGTTCTTATCCTCTTTAACTTGGATTCCCTGGAGCCTCACCTTTTCACCTCTCAGAACCAGACTTTCAAATGACCTTCATACTCTTTTGTGCTTATTAGATTTCTCTCATGGTCTATGTTTCTCTCTCCAAATTCCACTAGAAATGCTAAGACTATTTATTCTATAATCATCAAGCTATTGCAGAGCCTCAATTTGATGTTTCACTATTTCTACGGTGGTGACACTGGCCGTAGTGCCTGCTGCACCCTGGTTCCCACTCTTACTATGCCTCAATGTGGTCACCCCTTCTCAGCTCATAATCATAAATATTATTCTCTATTGCTGCTTATTTATAAACTTAAAGTATCTTCATTTTGATACTTAAATAAATGTCTAGTTTAAAATTAAAAAGATTTTGGATGTATTTAAATGTTACAGTATTAAAAGCCTGAAATCAATCTTTTCAGTTGAAATAAGTTTTGTCTTGTTAATAAAAGATCACAATTGTTCCTGAGGAACTACGTCCCCAAAGCAACTGAATTGTGTATATGCCCTTTGACCTGGCAAAACTGTTACAAAATCTATTCCCCAAAGAGATCAAAGAAAAAGGAGCAATATATACAAAAATATTTATAGCAACTTTCATGGTGGCAAAGAATTGGAAACTGAAGGGGTGCCCACGAATGAATGGCTGAACAAGTTATAGAATATGTATGTGACAGAATGTTACTGTATTTTAAGAAATGATGTATTTAAAAAATGTATTTAAGAAATGATGAAGGTGATGGTTTTAGATAAATCTGGAAGACTTGTATAAACTGATGTAAAATGAAGGGAGCAGAACTAGGAGAACAATTACAAAATAACAACAATATTGTAAAGACAAATAACTTTGAAAGGCTTAGGAACTTTGATCAACAGCATATAATGAACCACAATTTCAGGAAGCTCATGATGAAACATGCTATACACACCTCAATATAAAAAAGGTGATGGACTCAAGAGTACAAACTAAAGTATATTTTTTGGGGGCACATAGCTAATGTGGAAATTTGTTTTGCTTGACTATTTATATTTTTAACAGGTTTGAAAAAACCCAATATTTAAAGATAGTAGCAACAGATTTCTGGAGCGTTTGGAAAGAATAATTCAGAATCAGTGTATAAAGAGTAGTATATTCACTTGAGCATAGTAGGCAAAATGAGGTCAAAATTAACATAACAATTTCCCTAAAATAACATAAGTTTAAAAAATAATTAAATGTGCAAAACATTATCTCTTCAGCCCGTTAAGATGAATACAACCATCCGAAAAAATGTGGTCTTACATATCCAATTTTCACTAGATTTTTATTATAGAGATTGTTAGACTGATGTTGCCACCATACTGCCACATCTTTTTCTAGATTTTTAGGCAAATATAAAAGCTATAATGTGTGCTAGAACTTAAAAGTGCATACGTAATCCATATATAACTCAATAATTTGTTACAAGTAAGAGGCAAACTATATATTGGACTGTCACAGTATGGAACCTGAATGTCTGCAATATTCTTATTCCAATTTAGAAATAGTTCATTACTCTTGTAAATAAAGTATCTAAATGCTATTTACTAGTTCCTTTTCAGCTGAGAATTTATGATTCTATTGAGGGCCAAAAAAAATTGTTTTCTCTCACTAAATTCTAGGTTTGTACCTAGAATTGATGTAAGATAGAGCTTTTTTTATACAGGAAAATGAAAACACTTCTCCATTGTGTTCTGCTTCCACTGAAATTATGATATATAACTACAGATGAAATTATACTTTGGTGAAATTAAAACATTAAAATGTGCTAAGTGTAAAATAGGTCAAAACCATAAAGGTTTGTGAAAGAATAGCAATGACGTTAAAAGAAACAGCACAGTATAGTAGATGGAGTGCTGGTCTAGGAGTTGGGAAGAAAACCTGGATTCAAATCCCACCTCTGATGCTAGCTTGCTGGGATAACACAGGTCAAGTCAATAAGTCTCTGTAAAATCTTATATGGAAATATGTAAAATTCTTGGAAAAAAGAAGTTTTTAAGAGAAAATAGATCATTATGCATCTAATATTTTCCAAGGGAAAGAGCTGCTTTGAGTATCTAAGTATGACATTCTTAATAAAGTATATTCTCAATATAAATTAACAAAATTATAAGTATAAAGGATTAGACTCTCAACCTTTTGTAAACATAACAGGACATAAAACTGCTGGAAAGAATATACTCCCTGTTAATCTCTATGTTCTTTAGAAGCTCAGTTCCAGTGCTATTTCCTAAGCAAACTCTTTTGAAATTTCCCCCATTGTGAGTGCTCATGAAATTACTTCAATTTATTTATATTTAACAGCCATTTGCAAAGTGCCTATTGGTTAAAAGAAAGGTGCTAGGATACAAAGACAAACTAAAAATAGTTCCCTGCCCTTAAAGAATTTATGATAGAAGTATAAGTAAATACAAAATATGAGAGAAGCAGGAAAGGCCTGGAATAGGAGGAAGCACCTGAGCTGAACCTAGAATTCTGAGGGATTCCAAGAAATGATGATGGAGAGCATCCTTGGTTACAGTGGCACAGAGGAGAGAAATCGACTATTGTATAGAGAGTAGTAAGCAGGCCAGTTTGCTGGAACAGAGAGTGCTTGAGAGGGAATAATTTTAAACTTCTTAACTGGTTATTAAAAAATACATAAAATACATAATAAATAAGACGAATGTCCTAACAGGGCAGCTAGATTGCACAGTGGACAGAGTGCTGGCCCTGGAGTCAGGAAGACTTGAGTTCAGATCTGGCTTCAGACATTTATTAGCTGTGTCATCCTGGGCAATTCACTTAACCCTGTTTGCCTCAGTTTCCTCATCTGTAAAATGAACTAGAGAAGCAAATGGCAAACCATTTAAGTATGTTTGTCAAGAAAACCCCAAATGGGGTCATGAAGAATCAGACATGACTGCAATGAGTGGACAACGACTACGACGACAACAACGAGATGTCCTAATTAGCTACTATTTTGTAAAGTTCAATTTTCACTCCTAAAGATGACAAGTCGTTACTGAATTTTTAATGTATAGTACATTTAAGAACATCAAGCCTATTCTTAATAGTATGAAACTAATGAATACAAAACAGAAAATATACATTTGTGTAAATTTTTATGATTGACCAGTAATGCTGAAAAGTACATTATTCAAGAATATGAATAATGACATAACCATTGTTCCTACTCTTAGTAAGTACATAAATTCTATAATAAATAGATTAAATATTTTTAGCAACACATGAGAATTATCTACCTTTGAAAGTGGTCTAAAGAAAGGAAAAATACCATTAAAAAGGATACAAATTTTGGTACAATGGGATCAGTGATTTCAATGCACGGCTTGCATTTATAGCTGTAGCTCGAACCATAATGGGAAGGATTTTTCCATTTACAATAGCACCATCAAAAAGTGGACCGAAGAATGGAACCTAAATCATAAATTAGAAAGTTATTTTAGAGTTTAATGTATTCACTAAAATATTAACAATAAAGGAGATAACAGCATTATCTGCATACAATACTTTTAGGAATATTAGTCTGGTATTTTAATTGTATTCTGTGATAATCAATACATGTATTTATATAATGAGAAGAGAACAGGACTTGGAGTTAGGTGACCTGATTCCAAATATTACCTATGATACTAGCTCTATAACCATTGGCCAAATCACTTTTTCCTGGGCCTTCATCTGTACGTGGAGATAATGCTCACAGTGACTGATTTACAGGACTACTGTGACAAAGAACTCTGTAAATTTTTAAATATTACATATACATTACTAATAAGAAGACAATCACCCTCCCCCCCAAAAAAGAGAAGGCAGAATTCTACAGAATATCCATGTGAAAATATTGTAATAATAATAATAATGATAATTAGCATTTATATAACACTTCAAGGTTTGTAGAGGACTTTATAAATATTATGTCACTGGATCTTCACAAAAACTTTGGGAGATAGATGCTCTCATTATCTCCATTTTACAGATGAGGAAACGAAGGCTGACAGATGTTAAATTACTTTTCTAGGGTCACATAGCTAATAAATATCTAAGGCCAGATTTGAACTCAGGTTTTCCTGACTCCAGGTTCTATCCTTGATCCACTGTGCCAACTAGCTGCCTCTTTTCGTGCGTGTGCATGCGTGTGTGCATGCGCGCACGTGCTAATGCAGAGAATATTCAATTTTCTACCACCACCAACTCTTTAATTTTGATTGGGTGGCTTTGGCCAATTCTTCCTAAGGTTTTTTTTGCCATGGCTTCTCTTGTGGAAGGCTCAGACAATAAACATGGGAATGGGAAACTGTCTTACTCATCTCCTGACTCTGACTGGGTTAAGGACATATTAATTAATTCTTAGGTAAAATGCACATACTTTTTTTTAAAGCAAAATTGTGAATAACTTAGCAAATACATTATTTAAAAATTAAAGAAAATGCAATCCACATACCTCAGGTTTTTTCATTATCTGGATACTGAACATGTGGTTTTTCATTGGATATATTACAATAAGGACATCACCAAATTCTGTAGGGATAATTCCTCTTCTATAGTCTCTAGTATGCTCTGACCAAACAATGTGCACTTCATCATTTCCTAAGTGTCGCAACTAGGAAAACAAGAAAGTAATATTAACAAAACATTGCATAAAATATGTAAATACATGTAGTCCCACTGCTATAGATACCAATCATTCCAATCTGTGCTATGGTATCAAATTGTCTTAAGAAGAAAAGAGGTTAAAAAGTTTAAAATAAGATTTTAAAATGTTCAATGTGAGTATCAAGAAAACATGTAAAACAATGGATATTATAATGAAAAAGAGAAAGCACAGGTAAAAGAAATTCACAGATAATCAAAATATTCTCTTTTAGTTAAGTTTCAATTTCTTCCTCTACAAAGCACATTCTGAATAAAATTAAAATGTAGAAAAATGGATGGAATTGAGTTACATTTCCTTTTTGAATACTGTCCTTGAATGAGAAAGTTATCACTTTAGATTTAACAAATTTATTATTAACTTATTTACTTTAGCATCTTATAAATTTCTCCTCAATTTTTACTAATAATTGTTAGACCCTAGAGATCTCATTTAGGCATTTAAACTGTTCACTAATTGTTATACCACAGGCAGTGAGGCAGCCCATATCTTTGAGGGGATCAGTCCCTTCTACCAAAGAAGACTCTTTCATTCATACAAGATGGACTACCTCCTCCTAGTCATCTACTTTATCTCTTCCTATTTGCAGCTCAAGTAACAGCTAAGGAGGTCTCAGTGATTCAAGTGGGAGGTCTGGTTTTTGCCTCTCAGTAACCATTTACAGACTTCTTAGTCTTGTTGGTTTGGCCATGCCCCCCAATTCCCTGCTGCTATCTTCCACTCCATTCCATGTCCATTCCATGGACTGTCTCCTCACTGACTAAGAAAGACCAAGACACAGAGTTCCTATTAAATGATGAGAGGGATGAGATCACTGGGGCATAGCTTACCCACTTATCAGTAACCCTTCTTCCAAACTGAGCATTAGGGCTTAAGTAAGACCATTTCTGGGGGCAGCTAGATGGTTCAGTGGACACAGCATTGGGCCTAGGAAGAGCTGGGTTCTGGCCTCAGGAACTTAACTGCTATGTGACTGTGGGCAAGTCATTTAACCTCAGTTTGCCTTAATTTACTGGAGAAGGAAACAGCATACCACTCCAGTATCCTTGCCAAGAAAATCCCATGGACAGTATGGTTCATGGGGTTATAAAGAGTCATACACAACTGAATGACTGAAAAACAAAAAAAAAAACCTGTTACACCAATCATTATGTATCAAGGATGTTAGGTTAGGACAACAGAGGGAGGGTGCTGGCGGAAGATAACACATAAAAGAAAGCTGGAAAGGGGAGGAAGCTTGAGAAGAGAAGGTTTGGAATAGTGAGGAGTGTGAGTGGGAATCAATTAGGGAGGAATGAAAGGATTGTCTTGCTGCAGTGAGGGTTCAGGTGAAGTCATTCAGTCAGTCAATCAACTAGCATTTATAATGTGCTAGAAATTATGTTAAGTGTTATTGATAAAAAGAAAAGCAAAAAACAGTGCTTGTTCTCAAGGAGCTCAGTCTAATAGGAGAAACAACATGTACACAGCTATGTACAAATATGACACATACAGGACAAATTGGGGGCAGTTTGAAAGGGAAGGCACTAAGATTAAGAAGGACTGGGAAAGGCATCTTGCAGATAGGCTGAGACTTGAAGGAAGCCAGGAGGCAGAGATGAGAGAGAATATCTCAGGCACGAGGGACTGCCAGGGAAAATGTTTTTGGTCATGTGATGAAGTGTTGTGTTCCAGGAACAGTGAGAAGGCCAATGTCACTGGATAGCAAAGTATATGGAGGGTAGTTAGGTCTAAGGATACTGGAAAGGTAGGTAGAGGTCAGGTTATCAAAGATTTTAAAAGCTAAACAGAGGATTCTATATTTGATATTAGAGGTGATAGGGAGTCATTGGAGTTAACTGAAGATGGGGTTGGTATGGTCTGACTTAAGTTTTAGGAAGGTCAGTTTGACAGCTGAATGGTGGAGAGATTAGAATGAGGAGAGACTAGGCAGGGAGACAAACCAGCAGGCTATTGCAATAGTCCAGGTGTGAGGTTATGAGGCCTGCAACAGAGTAGTCAGTGTCAGAGGAGAGAAGGGGATGTATACAAGGGATGCTATGAAGGCTGGCACTTGACTGGATATGGGGAATGAGAGTGAGTGAAGAATTGAGAATGACACCTAAATTGTGAGCCTGGGTAATTGGATGGTGATACGCCTGACAGTAATAGGCTTTGGGGGTAAAGATAGTGAAGTTCAGTTTCAGACATGTTGAGTTTAAGTTGCCTATGGGCCGTCCAACTCAAGATGTCTAATAGGCAGTTAGAGATGAGAGGTTGGAGGTTAGGACAGAGTTTGCTGCTGTATAAGTAGATCTGATTAAAACTATGGAAGATGATGGTGTCACTAAGTGAACTTGTATAGAAGAAGAAGAGAAAAGGGTCCAGGACAGAGCTTTGGTAGATCCCCATGGTTAGTAAGCATGACCTTGATGAAAATCCAGCAAAGGAGACAGAGATACGACGTGTCAACTGTTAGGTCTGGGAAGAGAACCAGGAGGTGGAAGTGTCAGAAAAATCTAGGGAGAAGAGGGTGAACAACAGTGTCAAAAGGCTATACAGAGGTCAAAAAGGATGAGGATTGAGAACAGGACATTTGACTTGGCAATTAAGAAATCATTAGTGACTTGGGAGAGAGCAGTTTCAGTTAAATGATGAAGTCAAAAGCCAGACTGCAAAAAGTTATGAAAACAGTGAGGGGAAAGGAAGTGGAGGGATTGATTGTAGAAGGCTTTCTCTAAGAGTTTAGCCACAAAAGTCATGAGAGATAGGGGATGATGGATAGATTAAGTGAGAGTTTTTTCAGGATGAGGGAGATGTGGCCATGTCTATAGATAGTAGGGAAGCAAACAATAGGGAAAGATTTAAGAGTAGAAATGAGTGAGAGAGTAGGAATAACAGAGGAGATAATCTGTTGGAGAAAACAGGATGGAATGGGATCACTTGTACTTGTGTGTGGGAGTGCCTTGATCAAAAGGGCTACTTCTTCATGTGAAAACAGGGTGAAGGAGAAGATAATGGCAGAAGGCATCAAACTGATATGTGATGAGGAAGAGGAGAGGAGACAGGGCTCTCTACAAATACCCCCAATTTTTTCAGCCAATTATGAGGAAAGGATCTCAACTGATACGGTTGGGGGAGGTGGTACCTTTGGAAGTTTGAGGAAGCATGAAAATATTTAGAAAAACTACTGTGGTGAGTGGCATAGTTAATTGATGAGGGATGTGTAAAAAGATTTCCTTGTTACGGTGAGGGCCCAGTTGAAATTTAAACATAAATCTGCAGTGGACCCAAACATGGATTCATGATTTTCTAAAGCTTCATTCAGCAGAGTGTGTATAGTAGCATAAGCAACAGATGATGGCAGTAAGACAATAAAATGGGGTTTGGGAGGTCATAATCTTTAAAGGGGCAAGGGACTTGAAAGAATATGACAATGTAGAACTGAACTGAGTAGAGAGGCAAGGTAGTGAGGATAGCCAGTACAAGGGTGATGGCTTGGGAAAGAAATGATAGATTAGAAATTATGGTGAAGACAATGAACAGGGTGTGAAGTTGCACGTGAGAGGGAGAGATAAATGACGATAGATTATGATCAGATAAAGGAATGTGAGAGTTCATGAACATGGACTGGAATACTTGTAGGTGATGGCAAGCTCAAGGAGTAGGGTAGAGGAGGTGACCATAGGTAATGAGCAAGTTGAGAAATTGTGCGATTAGGGTCTTTAAGGGAGTATCAATATATATGCTAACATTCCCTTATATTAGGGCTGGAGTTAGAAAGACTATAAGTTAGTCATCGAATTCACTGAGGAATGAAGGAGAGTGTCCTAGAGATCTGTGGACAACAACTACCAGAATGTGGATTGGTTGATAAATATAGACTGAGTGAACCTCAAAAGAGGAGACATTCAGACAAATACTCTCATTTGATCTCACTGAGCACCTAATATGTACAAAACTAGGCAATGGTATTATAAGGACAAAAAAATGAAGATACTCCATAGATTAAGGAATTTAATATTTCACTTAGGGGTACAACATGAAAACACACTGATGAAATGAGGAGGGAGGAGCATTATTAGGGGGATCAGGAAAAGTTTTGCTTAGGTGAAACCTGAAGGAAGTGAGGCTGAGCCTTGAAGAAAGGTTAAGGACTCCAAGAGGTAGAAATGAAGAGGAAGTACATTCTGAACACTGATAAAGGGATGGAGGTAAGAGATGCAATCCAAATATTGAAGAACAGAAAGGAGAACAATTTGGCTGAATGGTAAACAAATCATTTAGCTTCTCAGTTATCCAAGCAACTCTCTAAGATTACAAATCAAAGAGCAGGTACGAGCTTGCATTAGTAGGAATTACTTCATCAAGAGGCTCCCTATATAAATAAAATTACAAGTTAAATCTTAAAAAAAAATCCAAACTATGAAATTATAAAAACTTGCATGGTTTGCCTATTCCAAAAAGTAAACAAACTAAATACGTGAATTCAAAAGAAACATACAGATCTGAAGACTTTCCCATTTCTTTCATTCTCTAAAGATTAAGTGGTCACTAAATATTGATTTAATATGTGAACTATATATTTCTTAACTTAAAAATTTATCCTCTCTAATAAGCAGAAGCCCACCTAGATTTTCTGAAGCATTATAAGTAGAGACATCTATTGCTTTAAAGATAGATTATTAATAAAGCTAAATTTATAAATGCGGCTCTATAACTTTTTAAGTACAGTGAATTCTCTGAAGGAGGATACTTTTAGCCTAGACAGCTCTTTTTGGAAACCATAACAGTTTCTATTGTTCAAAAATAAATTAACCAGTACTCCAGGACTAAAAATTTAAAATATTTATTTTAGTGAAGGAAATTAATACCAATGTATGAAATATATACTCTATTTTAATACTATAAACATGGGGCTAGGTTTCTTTGTGCATTTTTTCAAAAAAGTGAGAAAGATCACACAATTT